AACTTTTAGGAGCTACTGAGACATAAGTGACAAAAGGGGTGCTTGGATCAATAGTTGTTCGATTACTTATACCAGCATGGGCTTTTAGAACTTAGCCAAGTGCCTCATTTCTGTTCATTCTCTTGCTCTTTAGCCTAGCCTCACAAATGTCCTTGAAAGTTATTAGCCTACCCTATATATTTTTCTTAGAAGGCCTTCCTTAGTCTTTTGGAGCACACTGAGTCTGAAAACAGAGGGTACTAACCCTTTTCCATCTTAAAAAGGTCACTTGCAGGCAGTTCTTACCAGGTAAGAAGCTCAGTCCATATTGTTAAGCAAACTACCCTGATTTCACTTGGAATAATACAGGGGTTGGTTTTTGCACTTCTCCAATTTTGTGGTATGGTTTTCCGTTTCAAAAACATAGAACAAGGCATATAAAGTATGCATATTTAACACGCGTACCAAAAACTGAATTGAAAAGAGAATTGCAGACAGAATGGACTTCTAAATGTACACATGGGAAATGGACTGGAAATAGATCTGCCCATCCCTAATTACCAGTCTTAGTCTATGACATTTATCTAGTTATTTGCTGCCGAATACTACTGATCTCATTTGACACACAGGAATAATTGCGGCACTTAGAAGCATAAACAGCAATGATAATTTTGGATAATTAAACTTTTAATTCCAGTTGCTGACAAGAGTAATTGTACCTGTATCATCTCCATCATTGCTTCAGTGATCACATCCTTTTCTATGAGGTGTTCCATCAGTTCCTTCAAAACTAGCTGCTTTGCTAGGGAAACACGATTCTTTTTCAGAGCCTCTTGGTGACATTTCTGCATGCCACATGCGCCCAGCATCCTAGAAGAGATAAAAATCCTTTGTCTTCTAACAATCTACTGGAACAAGTTTTCACATTAACCATACACCAAATGAGGAGTGAAACTTGAGTGTTTCCATTATGAATTCTTAGGAACATAGGATTTTGTCTGGTAAATGGAAGAGGGGTATCATGGGGAATTCTGAATGAAAAGAAAACTAGCTTTGAAACACTTGTTTATTCTATTACACAGATCTTTTAGTAGAGAACACACACCTTTTTTTAGTGATTCCTGAACATTCTTTCCTCTCTCCCTAATTACAGTTTTGCATCAGCAATATCCAACAAATATCTGCTGGCTGGAAGGATCTGCTGGCTGGAAGAAGGAAAACAAGAACTTTTGTGATCACGCCAATAGCCCGGTGGGAGTGTGTAGGAGTTAGGAAATAACACCAGTTAGAAAAAAGAGCTGCCCTGTTTGTAAATTTCCTTTGTATGAATTATATTCATAAGAATAGTGGGCTGCCTATTCTTGAAATTTTGTAAAAACAGTATTTTGAATTAGGGATTCTGGCAAACATACAGCAAATGCAGATCTAGCAGCTTTTCTGTCCCTGGACTGCAACTGATAAAAATCATAATACAAATGTTTTCTGTACAGAGGCCATTGATGACTACTGAATAAGCCTATAGAGAAAATTACTGTAAGATATGGGCAAAGGACCCAGCAATTACTTTGAATCCAACAAAGAATTGAAGCATTTGCTCATGCTATTATTTGAGCTTTTCTATAGACTACACAAAGAAATATCTGTATTATTTATACTCCACTCACATTTCTAAGAAATTATTTACATCTATATAATATATAGTGTTATTTTATTCCAAATGGAAAGTTTTCCAGTGAAAAACAACAACAAAGATATAGTTGCAAAAAAGTTTTTGAAAATTTGTAAGCAAGCGTATTGCTCTGCCCTGCCATATTTTATTGAGCAAAATTATAGGTCACCAGCTCTAACTTTCTCATCTTCCAAAAACATTGGATTGCTTTCTAGACCAGTGTTTCCTAAACATCAGCCTTACACTGAAAACAGTCACAGCTCAGTAGTGGCTCACAAATTATGGAATTCAGAAAAAAATTGAAAATGTCTATGCTGAAAGGTAACAATTTCAAAGTTTGTGGGAAAGTAATTTATTTACTTATTAAATTTATAGTGTGCCCTTCCTCCCAAAGAAGCACAAGGAGGCAAACACACAATCAATAAAATTAAAACAACTAAAACCAAGTCTAATACAGATGCAAACTGGGAAAGATTGCTATATTATTTCCTCAGTTCAATTCTGCAATAAGCAAAACCATCGGTTTTATAAACACTAGAATGGCCATAACAAAATACTGTACGTATTATATACACTGTATGCTGAACAGAGATACTTTGTTCATACATAGTTACTGCAACATAGTAGTTCTTTTGACTTTTATTCAATATAAATCTACTGTATTTACTCGAATCTAATGCTCACCTTTTTGGGCCAAATTACGTTGCAAAAATTAAGGTGTGCATTCGATTCAATGGCACATTTACATTTGCCAGCAAATACTTTTTTTGATTTCAGGGTTCTGAAAATTGAGGTGTGCATTTGATTTGATGGCACATTAGACTCAAGTAAATATGGTATATCTTGATTTCTCATGCTACTGAAATGCATTTTAACTGTTAAGATGTTTGTATTTTAATTTTGATGTTGTTTGGACACCTTGAATTCATTTGGAGGATAACAGTCTAATAAATAATATTCAATTTCCCAATATATTTCCACAGGTGCACACTAGAAATCACCTTCTCACATGATGGTGTAAACCGATTTGGACACTTGGGAAAAGTTGGGTGTTTTTAAGAACAGTTTAAACCTCCAGTGTACTGGTAAATTCTGAAGTGCAGACACTCACAATAACCCCTATAGCTGTGTCCCTTCTAAAACTATTGGACTAGATGACTCGTGGGAATCCCTTCCAACTCTACAATTCTGTGATGGTAAAGGTAAAGGTACCCCTGACCATTAGGTCCAGTCGCAGATGACTCTGGGGTTGCGGCGCTCATCTCGCTTTACTGGCTGAGGGAGCCGGCATTTGCCCAAAGACAGCTTCCGGGTCATGTGGCCAGCATGACGAAGCCGCTTCTGGCAAACCAGAGCAGCGCACGGAAACGCTATTTACCTTCCCGCCGGAGCGGTACCTATTTCTCTACTTGCACTTGGCATGCTTTCCAACTGCCAGGTTGGCAGGAGCAGGGACCGAGCAACGGGAGCTCACTCTGTTCCAAGGATTTGAACCGCCAACCTTCCGATCGGCAAGTCCTAGGCTCTGTGGTTTAACCCACAGCGCCACCTGTGTCGCTGTGATGGTAGGAGCCAACTACTGGGGGTTGAGGTCCCTTAAGCCCCCTCCAATAAAACATTTGAGGGGGCCAGGTCCCTCCAGCGTTGATGTGCTGGAGGGTGTGCATGTGTCAAATGGTGTGCATGTGCCACATCTCATCATCGATTATGCTGCGCAGGGCTGGCACCTGAATTTTATACTTGCAAGCCACACCAAAACTACCATCAGTTCACAGCTCGCCCATTAAACTGCTGTGAGACGGATCAATTATACCTGAAACGATTTGAACAATTAAAAAAACCGTGTTATATAAAGGCCAAGCATTATTTATTCGTGGCTCTGCGGAGTCACTGCATTATATAATATTTTAGGAGCGATGAAAAGAGGCGGGGATGTCGGGGAGGGAGGAAACGCTGAAGGGGCCCTGGCAGGATGCGCGGCTCCGTCAAACCTCTTTCCCCTCAGCAAAAGCGGCTCCCCGCCTGGGGCTCTGCCGCCAGAGGCCTCTCCCATCCCCCCGCCTCCACTCCTCCCTTGAGGGGATTCGGCCCCGTCCAGCTCCCTCTCGCCTCGCTTCCCCGCCCCGCCCCGCCCGGCCCCTGCTGCCTCAGCGAACCGCGAAGAAGAGCAAAAGCCACTCACTCGCCTCCGCCGTCGCCTGGCGCTTCCCGGCGCGCGGTAGGCCGCGGGGGCGCGAGGCAGGAGGCGCAGCTTTTCCCGCCTAAAATTTCTCCTTCCTCCAACGGCCTGCAAGTAACAAGACGGGGGGTGGGGAGGAGGAGGGGGGGCGAGAGAGGAGGAGGAGGAGGAACTATTCCCGATCACGTGGCTGCAACTAGGTTGGGGCGCCTGCGCAGGACGGGCGGGACTATGAGAGCGAATGCGCGCGCATTCCAACCCACTCGCTTGGCCAGTCTCTTCCCCCGCACGCCTCGATACCTCAAGAAAACTACCCAGAACCCGCCTATTGTGGGGCGCATGCGTGCCTTTCTCTTTATTCCTTGGGGATTCCGCTGGGTCCGTCCGCTGGCCTCTACTGCGCAGGCGTTCTTTCACCTGCCGTGGTCTCCCTTATTTTTTTTTTTTTTTTGCAACTTTCTGCCCGACCTTACATTGTCTTCACTCCCATGAGGATGGCGGTGATGGTTTTTTATTTAAAAGAACAGAGCAGTTTCAATAGTAGTTCTGAGCTAGCTAGCTAGCTAGTTAATTTTTAAGAAGAGGACTTGCAATATCATCATCCTCTGATTATTTGTATGCCACTTTTCCCCACAACATTGTGCCCAAAGTGGCTCACATCTCATGTGATCACTTAAAGTACAACGATTTAAAAAAAAATGCATATTTGAAATAATATCAATCCATTTTAAAAAATAAATAATAATCCATGCACATTTTATTTATTTCACACTGTCCCCGGCTGCCCTCAATGTTCAAGAAGCTGTGTACGTGACAGGGTTGCTGTTTTCTGGTCAAATCCCAGTACCAATACAGTAGTTTGGAAATGGCACAAACTTGCAGCCTAGAGAAAACAAGCTGCACTAATGTTACAAGAAACAAATACTTGGGCCGGTAAATTAGCTAAAGGGAGGAACTGGTGCTGTTTTGCATTGCAGTTATGTCCCTATGGATGGTGCTGTGACACAGGTGCTGGAGAAAGTGTTGTGATGCTGTCTGAGACAATGCGTATGGCAGCCAAGACCTTTTGGTACATGAATCTTCTTGCAATATTGCTTTCAATAGCCTAATCTTCTTGCAATATTGCTTTCAATAGCCTAATCTTAGCATGAGCAATAAAATGTGCAACACAAATTATGGAGGTATTTATCCGTTTTATTATAATGTACAGTACATGCATGGGGAAAGTGCACCAAAAAATCAGAGCAAATTACTAGCGTTTAGACATTTCATAGTGAAAATATGACAATAGGATATATTTCAGGCAACAGAGATGTCTTTTTGGTAGTGCCAGTTTTATTTGCCAAAAATGCATCGATCTACAATTAGGCATATGGTTCAATAATGTGTTCTCTGTGTGGCAATGTCTCCTGTATTTATTCAGCAGAATGCTAAATCCACTTCAACAACAACATTAAAATATAGCTTGCTATCCCTAGTATGCATTTTTGAAAATGGCAAATGGAATTTGTCCCATTACTAGATTATATCAGCAATAATTCTCCTACTGATCTTTTTCAAGCACCTTGCAATCCACAGACGTAGCAGCATGAAAATACAGAAAAGCCCAGGTAAATGGATACTATATTAGTTTCAAATCTTTAAGCTGCTTTTAAACCAACACCTAGGACTATTACTCTGTAAAATAAGTTATGGAAAAGAACACAATTATCTTCATGGTCTGACAGTATTCCCTCTAAATTTATCACTAACCCTAAGACAGAAAAATGTCAGTTGTCTGTCTTCTTGTTATGGCTGCACAGGACTTTTAATCTCAACAGTAGAGCTGTTGACAGGCTACCAGAGTTGTGCTCAGGCCATTCACTGGGATGCTACCTACACTGAGCTAAGCTAAGAGGCATTTCTCATTCCTGCCTAGCTTCTACTGCCCTCATCCCAGTCGTTTCAAAGAGTAGAAGCTGCTTTGTCAGGCCCCACACCTCCACAATAAAATTTAGTCTTTTGACATGGCAACTTCACATCTTTACAAATTAAATTACTGGCTGTAATAAGCCAATGATTGGTGAGTGTCTGTTGTATGCAGTTAGCTTCACATAAGATACTGCACCTTGCTCATTTTCCTACAGGGGAAAGTTTGGCAATCACAACTTCCCAAGATGCAAAAGTTAAATCAGATACCCTTTATCTGAGCCATCACCATCACATGTGGGCAACAGCCATCAGATGAGAAGGGAGAACAGGTTTCCAAGAAAATAAGAATTCATAACAAGGAATGCTCAATAACAGCTTAGAGATGTCTTTCTGACAGTAAGTTTTCCCTAATCACGAACACAAAATATTGCACTTAAAGAAACGTATTAGCGTATTGGAACAACCCCAACCTGGCAAACAATTAAAAAATGAAATTAAAAAACAGCAGCATGCATTTAAAACCCTTTGAAGTACATGACATGCACTTTTATGGCAGCTCTTTGCATTTTGCAAAACATGTACATTAAAGCCATTATAAATATACCATATTATAAAGGTATGAAAGGCAGTGGAAAACAGGCAAATACATGTTTATCTTTTTTCGGTTTAGAAGAAGCTGAGAGGTGAGAGGTAAATATGCTAGAGTTGAAGAGGAAAAGTAGACGTTTGCCACTACTACCCTTATTTCAGTTGTGGTACCAACCAAGTTTGTCTCTAACCAGTCCCCTCATCCCAAACTGCTCAGACGCATTGGAGATCCAGGAGATTTTTATATGGCTTTCACTCAGTAGCTCATCAGAAAAAGCTTGGCAATTGCTATCAGCATAAAACATACCTTTCCTAATTTGCACTCTGACTTGCACCTATGTCTGACAAAACACAGTGCAACATGCATGATGGGTGACATAATTAGCAACAGAATAGTCTTGCTTGGCACTTGCTTGGCACTTTTGATGACACCATCTGAAAGTACTGCCTCATTGCCTGTTCCATGCCTGTGTTGAAGTGTTTAAGTTTCTGCTGGCTTTTGAAGGATATGTAAAGGGGGGGGGGCAGGGAGAAAAAACAGGTGGCACTGTTCATATTACCAAACACACTGGAAGCGATAGTCCTAAAATTACGTTTGACCATTTGTTTTGCAATCAACAGTCCCTGAACGGAAAGGAGGAAATGGAACGTGTCTCCCAATACCACACACACAGAGAAAAATTATAAACCAATATCCTCTTTAAAAAACCCATTAAAAGCTGTCCTCAACTTTGTGGTTTCGAAAATGCCATTAAGTTAACCTTTAAACAAGCCACACCAATGTTTACTCTCCCTGTAATCAAAATGGAACATCTGGTGCATGCCTAGGTTGAACTGATTCGATTCGCAGTAGCAACGGGTGGGGTGGCAAAGGGCTGTTCACCTGCTTTCCAAACACAGAATGTTGGTGCCAGCTCCCGAGAGGGAGAGGCACAGGGAGCAAAGTGGCATGGTGGCAGAACCAACCCAACACTCCTACTACCAAGCCCAAACCACACTGAGCTTCCTGCGTCTTCTTCTTTCCCCTCTCAGGAATCAGCAGTGGCACATGGTGCTCAGAAGGCAAGTGAGAAATCTCACCCTGCCTGGGCTGTGCAGGTCTAAACAGCATCCTCTCTGACTTTTCCTGCAGTCTTCCCCGCAATGATACCCTCCAAACATTGGCGGACTACAACTCGCATCATCCCTGACCACAGGCCATGTTGGGTGGGACTGATGGTAGTTTGAGTCCAACAACAACAGCTGGACGGCACTTTGCTGGGGAAGAAGACCGTTGTAGTGTAAACCACACATTCTGTTGCAGCGGACCACAACACGTGTTTGTGAAGAGAAATGCTACATTCCCTTTAAACAATACCTTTGAGAAGCATTGTGAAGAGATACCAACCCACATAAAAATGAATAAACCTTTAAAACGTCATTAGAACGTCGTGCTCTTGCACGCTAGTGTAGAATGAGCGGCCAAACAGAAATGAATGCAATCCGGGCTTGATCTTCTCAGCTAAGGCCATTATTATGTTAAGGTCCCCCTCTGCCCTCAAGTCCAGGTCTATCTTCAAGCTACGGAGCGATTTAAAAGGCTTCTTGCCTTTTTGCCTGTGGGAGGGGAGGGGAAAGTATGGTTAAACGGAATGATTTCAGCGAAAGCTGGGCCAAGAAAACACACTGCTCCCTTTAGCTTTATACTTACGTATCGTCTTCTATATATTTGATTAGGGTTAAGGCTTTTCGGTGAAGGATTAACAAGAACTGTGCGAGGAACACACGCCTCAGGGACAATCCAGGTTTCAAATGAAAGACCTGTTAAGAATTGCCACATAAAAGATCAGTACACATTAAATGGGGAAAGAGGGGAAAGGGTTCTGTTTAGTGGCATTCTCTCGCATGGCTCACCCCATACACTGCCTTCTGTTATAGACTAGTAAAATATACATTATGATAGGAGTTGGTTACACAAAGGACAAGCGTGGATCTTGCAGGGAATCGGGGGGCGGGGCAGGGTGTAGTGCATCTCAATGCTCTGCATGCACACATTATGCACTTCAGTAGGAACCACTGGTAAGGGCAGGCTACCCACAGTTTCTGAAGAAACAGCACTGTCTGCCAGTATACTGCTGGGCCACATTTAAGGTTTTGCTGGTGGTATACAAAGCTCTAAACAGTTTGGGACCAGTTTACTTGAGGGACTGCCTGTTCTCTTATGCAGTTACCTGGCTACTACTGTCTTCAGGTTCACTTCCTAGCCAGCTGGAGCAGGGCTTTAAGCACTATTGCAGCTAGTTTATGGAATTTCCTTACTCCCTTTGGATATCAAGCAGGCACACACAGTACAGTGGTATCTCGGGTTACATACGCTTCAGGTTACAGGTTAACCCAGAAATAGTACCTCGGGTTAAGAACTCTGCTTCAGGATGAGAACAGAAATCATGCTCCGGCAGTGCAGCAACACTAGCGGGAGGCTCCATTAGCTAAAGTGGTACCTCAGGTTAAGAACAGTTTCAGGTTAAGAACAGACCTCTGGAATGAATTAAGTACTTAACCCAAGGTACCACTGTACTGTTTTTGGCCCTTGCTCAAGAAGTGTTTTATTTACTTAAGCAGGCTTTCCCCAGCCATGTGCCTTGCTGAAATTTTCTATTTTATTGCGTTTCATACTAAAATTTTCTATTTTACTGTTTTGTTTTGTGAACGGCCAAGTTTTAGAAAATCATACTGGTTTTCTTATATTCCTGATATTTATATGCTGAGTGTGATAGGATTTCTGTAAATAAAAATAATAGAGTGGAGAGGTGGTTCGTTCTTGCTGCAACAGCCACTCTCAAGTGCAGTCTTTTACTTTTACCTGTAGGAGGTAAATGACAGCAACAACTTATAGCAAATGTAAAAGGATGCACACAGAAACACATTTGGGCGAGGATTAAACCTGCTTCCTTCCCTGGTAATTTCAGCCATTGAGAATCAAGTCTGCTCATGTTTTAGTTCTGCTGTGTTTGTGTTTGGCAAGGCTGGGAACAAGCTTTTGCAAAGAAAGAGATTATGCCGATGCACATATTTATGTATCAACAATAAAAATAAAATATTTGAGTGAATTTTTGGCCGAAGTCCCATAATTAACTTCAGAAATTTCACTGAAGTCAGTGGTTTGTTAACTGCTGGTGCTAATACAATTACAACTACAATTAATCTGCTAAACGCTAAATGCATACTGAACAAAGACATTTTATTCCTACATCCCTTAACTATATTTGAAGCTTTCCTGCACTTTCCCAGTATTGCCACATGACTTGACTTTAGAGTGCAAATACAGAGAAAAGACAGGCAGTAGGTAATTAATCTCATTAGTATTAGATTAGAGCATCTTCTTTAAAATCACACTTTAAAATACAGTGGTACCTCGGGTTACATATGCTTCAGGTTACACACTCCGCTAACCCAGAAATAGTGCTTCAGGTTAAGAACTTTGCTTCAGAACAGAAATCGTGCTCCGGCGGCGCGGCAGCAGCGGGAGGCCCCATTAGCTAAAGTGGTGCTTCAGGTTAAGAACAGTTTCAGGTTAAGAACGGACCTCCGGAACAAATTAAATACTTAACCTGAGGTACCACTGTACTACAGAATGGAACCACTTGAGTGGTGTTTTTTAAGGCTACAACTACACAAAAGGAACTCATTAAAAAAAATTAAAATAGGTGATATATCGCTCATCAGTTTTAACTCATTAGAATGAACAGTTACCTGATCCAGAAAGGCTTTTACTAAAGTGTCTTGGTGAAGGACATCTTGGAAAACGTTCCTGTAAAAATACATAGGAAGCATGCAGTAATATGTTGAGTTTCATTCACAATGCAAAGTTGAAGTACCATTCGGTATCTGTAATCGATAATTCCTTACAGCATTCGAAAACCCAGAAGTCCCACTGTTCTTATATGTGATCTAAAATATAAAGTAGGGCTAGTAAAAAAAAAATCATGCAAAAATAGCAGGCAAACTCTTCTATATAAATACTTTTATAGAAGCACACAATACTTTGTATACAAAATGAGACTAAATTGTGCCAATTGTAATTAAAGGATAACCATTGACGAAGGCTGGCTCATGACTTGATTACTACAGCCTCAAGTGCTAATTTGTGTTTATGAATGAGCTCTCACAGACCAAATACTGGAGAACTTCTCTCATCATCTCAAACACCGTGGGTGGAACTGAGTGTCACGCTAAGGCAATCGTTCCATCAGTGCAAGCATTTCTGCTTGCTATATGGACCCTCTCCTCTGCCACTGGGGGTTCTCCAGATCCTCCAGAGCAGATCTGGGAGAGGCACAGCGGGGCAGAGATGGGGGAAAGCCCCAGTGTGCTAGCAGGAGACCTTGCACAGGCTTTCGCTAGTGTACCTGGTTAGTTGAATCTGGCCCTGCGTTTTTCAGTGGAGCCATCCCATATACATGCATGTATAAACCGGACCCAAATGAATGAATTGTGTGACGAGTCCACCTGATCACTTCTTGCTGCTAGTTTATGAAAAAAGCTAAGAAGCTTCCAAATCTTGTAGAGGATAACCACTTTGGTGATCCTACTTCTCATGCCATTAGCCTCCCAAAGGATGGCATCTCAGAAGAGTTTTTGGTGGAGACAGAAATCAAATTCTCATAGCTGCGGAAACACCCTAAGAAACTCATAGGGAAGAAGTGCTCAGTTGTTTTACAATTCTTGTGGGAGAACAAAAGACTCCCCATTCAAAAGGTAGAATCTCACCGTGCAAAATGGAAAAAAATGACTGCTGGCTTTCAATATTGTTGTAGGGGTAAAAAGGGACCTCTGACCATTAGGGCCAGTCATGGCCGACTCTGGGATTGTGGCGCTCATCTCGCTTTATTGGCCGAGGGAGCCAGCGTACAGCTTCCGGGTCATGTGTCCAGCATGACTATGGCGCTTTTGGCAAACCAGAGCAGTGCACAGAAACGCCGTTTACCTTCCCGCCAGAGCAGTACCAATTTATCTACTTGCACTTGCAGTTCATGCTTTCGAACTGCTAGGTTGGCAGGAGCAGGGACCGAGCAACGGGAGCTCACCCCATTGTGGGGATTCGAACCGCCGACCTTCTGATCGGCAAGCCCTAGGCTCTGTGGTTTAACTTGCTTGGGTAATTTGGTCCTAATCTCAGGGCAGAAATTTTGCCTGGATGACAAAACGGAACCGAAATGTTATCTAGACACTGCATTTAAACCATGATTGGTGTCAACATCTGAAATTCTGCAACTCTACAAGAACACATACAGATCAGGGGTGAAGCTCTCGTCCGTATGGATAATGGTATCCTGAGCCATCTCTTCATCTGAAGTGGCTCTCCAGAAAGCTGTTAGCTCTGATCTCATGTACCGCCGCTGGTTATAGATATGTTCATGGCAAGGAGGCATCTGTTTCACGGTGTTGATATCTACATCAATGTGTGTAGTAGGATACGGAGCATACATCACTTGACGGAAAGGCAACGTAAAACTTCCAGTGCCATCCTGTCACAGTGAAAACAATTAGTCCAGTTACTAAAAAAAAAAAGGTCAGAGGAATCAAAAACTATAAGGCACTATCAGATTACAATTTTAAACATTTTGATTTATTAACATGATATGGCAGTAAATTAGATAATTCTCTCTCACACACACTCACACGCTCTCTCACACGCACATATATACATATGTTACACTTAGGATGTGTTCTGTATGGACAGCACTCAGCATATTACAATTCAGTTCTTAGCACATATACAGTCTCAACAAATTCAGTAGGAATCCTGGAATTGTAGAATTGGAAGGGACCCTGAGGATCATCAAGTCCAACCCCCTGCAATGCAGGAATATGCAGCTGTCCTATACAGGGATCGAAACTGCAACCTTGGCATTATCAGCGCCATGCTCTAACCAACTGAGCTACTTAATCCCTTGGGTGCAGGTTTAGGATTTCTGCTTTGATGTGTGTGGACATAAGCTTAATTGAACTTAGTGGGGCTAACACACAAGTAAACTTGCTACGGATTGAATTATAAGAGTTTGAATGTTCTCCATACAGGAAGCAGACTCTGTTACAGCCTTACATTTGAGCTTACTTACGAGTAAACATGCATAGAAACGCCATGAATGCACAGGGGACTCCACATTGTGGATAGTGAATGCCCCTGTGGAAACTCAGAGGGAAGTATTCCACTGAAATCACTGAAATTTTTCTGTTTGCAATTACAGTGGTGCCTCGCAAGACGAAATTAATTCGTTCCGTGAGTTTTGCCGTCTTGCAATTTTTTTCGTCTTGCGAAGCACGGTGTCGGAAAAGTTTCGGAAAAGCTTCAAAAATCCCCAAAGTCTTCAAAAACCTCAAAAAAAGACTACCACACTGCGTGCTATGAGTTGCTCCTCGAAGTCAAGTCGCAACTGTATTAACGGTGTTAAGAAAAAGGAAACAAACTTGCAAGACGTTTCCGTCTTGCGAAGCAAGCCCATAGGGAAGATCGTCTTGCGAAGCAGCTCAAAAAACAAAAAACCCTTTCGTCTTGCGAGTTTTCCGTCTTGCGAGGCATTCGTCTTGCGAGGTACCACTGTACTTTAGCTGGTTTTATATATGTTATACTGTAATTCACTTCATGATGCCTAATGAGAAGTGATTCATAAATGAAATTTATGACTGTGTTAGAGAGGGAAACACAACTGCAGTTTGCAGTTTTGTTCACTATTATTACCAGTTTTCTTCCCTCCCCCCTGGGGATGGTTTTTTTGGGCAATTATTGCTTTTAAAGTTTTTTAAAGTTTTAAAGGTCCAGTTTGGACTGCCATTTTTTTTTATATAAAAAAACCCAACCTATTTTTTACATTAAACATTTCTAGTCAATTACCAATATCACTTTCAGAAAAAGATTTCTCCAGTTTCCACTATATGACACATTTAAGTGTGAGAAGAAAAGGAAAGATGTTGATATATCTTTATACTTCATAGCAAGAGAAGAACAGACAGGAAAGTACATTTCCCTTAAAAAATAGTAGTTGTGTTAATGCAAATTAGCAATTTAATCTATGCTTCCTTTGTCCTGCTGGATAAATGCTTCCAACCTCCTCACTTCAAGGAAAAACCTACCAGAAACCTGTATTTTAATTTTAAAGGACATTAATAAAGATGCTAACAAAATAAATAATTGATAAATCTAAGCACAACAATAGTTCATTTGATTCAAAAAATAATGACTAAAGTTACTGGCTCCTGACAAAATGTAGTTGAGCAAATCAAAGACCTCACCTTCAGTAATCCTTGCACAAAAAGCCCCGATTCATACTTAAAGGAAGTTTCATTTCTACACAGCCTAGAACACTTTTGCTCTGCTGAAGTAAGAAAGAGGCACAGCGTCCGTACTATCTGTAATACAAAAATATAGTAAAAATACTTATCGGCAGGGAAATTTAGCAAAGAGAAAACTTGCAAATGAAATTTTTTATATGTTATAGTAATTGGGAAGTTGCTACTTGCCAATTACAGGAACCCAAATGACTTTTTGCCAGTTATATTGTCATTTTCTAAGTACACAAAATTCATATTTTGTTGCTAGAATAATCCCTCCCCCCGCCCTTTACAGGTAAGATAAGAAATCAAAGGACTAACGCCTATGATTTCTGGCAGCATATTGTTTTGCTTGGTAATCTAACCTTTATAAGATAGGAGATGCTTACTTTGTTAACTTTTTCTGCACTGCTTCCTATAACTACCGAGCAGCCACAGGTCTGCAAATGTGAACTGATGGCTCTGCAAATCGAAAAGAGAGGCATACAAAGTAATATGAAATACTTCACAAGAAGTTTACATGCAGCAGCTAAAAAGACTTTGCAAAGCGTTTTATTGTCAACAATACTAACGTTTCCAAATGTGGTGTGTAGTCTGTACTAAAATCAAACACCAAGGGCCAGAACTATATGGTTAGTTCAGCCACCTGAAATTACATTACTACAAATCTAGACTTCAGACAAAATGTGCAAAACAAGACAAAATTAAACAATACCATTTAATAGCTACTCACATTTTTGTGTAACTCCTATGTGAACATCTTGTTTTACTCTGCAGTAATCATTATAGGACAGGAGAATGGAGCCACAGATTGCTAACCAGTTACCTGATTACCGTATTTTTCCATCTATAAGACGCCCCCATGTATAAGACTCAATTTTGGGACTCAATTTTAAGAAAATAAGGGGAGATGGCCCAAAGTCATGGAGCTTCTCCCCCCCACAGCTGCGGGCAGCGGCATCGGGAAAAATTGCGCTCCCCCCAGCCAGGAGTGCAACTTCCCTCAATGCCGCTGCATGTGGTAAACAATCTAGGGATCAATCTGGCTGGCAGCACGCAGCTTCTCCCCCCATGCAGCTGCAGGCAGGAAACACTCCCTATATTCTTTCCCGCTTGCTGCGGCATCAGGGGAAGTTGCACTCCCGCCAACCAATTGGCTGGCGGGTGCACAGCTTCTCAACCCCCCCCATGCCACTATCCGTGTATTGGACGACCCCAGTTTTTTTGACACGATTTATGAGTCAAAAGGGACATGTGGCCAGCATGAGTAAGCCGCTTCTGGCGAACCAGAGCAGCGCACAGAAACGCTATTTACCTTCCTGCTGGAGTGGTACCTATCTATCTACTTGCACTTTGACGTGCTCTTGAACTGCTAGGTTGGCAGGAGCAGGGACTGAACAACGGGAGCTCACCCTATCGCGGGGATTCGAACCGCCAACCTTCTGATCGGCAAGTCCTAGGCTCTGTGGTTTAGGCCACACCGCCACCTGCATCCCTGAAAAGAGGCTTGCTTATAGGCAAAAACCCTACCAAAAAATAAAAGCGATTTTTTCTTCCCCACTCATCAAGTCACCAAGTTCCCAAAATCTCTGCTTTAGAAGTAAGTACTTTCCCAAAAGCAAATGATCATACTTAAGGAGGAAACCTTCGTGACAGCTGTCTCCAATGTCATCATCGCTAAGCACCGTGTCACTTATCTGGAATGTGATAAAAGCACAGGGAGGAAGATTAGTCATGGTGTATACGCTACAAATGACAAACAGCCCAGGAACCTATCCTATTTTAATGCAAAGAAATACTGAGATTTATACAAAATAAGGATGTAGACGAAGTCAGAATTTTAATACATTTCATTTATTTTCTATCCTACATCTTATTCCAAAGGACCTTTATCATCCAGGGACCTGTGTGGACACAAGTGCCAATCCTTTCTCACAATTCAAGGAAGGAAGAGAGTGACTGTGGAACTAAATGTTCATTGCTTTGCCTGTATAACCCCCCACTGCCAGCTTTACAAGCTCCACACCCACCATTGCATCAGTATATTTGTTTTGCTGATGCATTAATGATCCAGTAAAAGAATGCCTAGGATCTAAAAAGATCCTACCTTTGAACTCTCCCTAGATTTTTTTAAAAACTCCTGTGGAATGAATCACAATTTTGATAATTTTTTGCACTTTAAAGAGCTACGTACAGACCAGACCACATGCAATTAATCCGGTACAGTTTAAAAGGTGCTGTGTTGTTTGTGAGATGTGCCCTTGGCTGCGGGTCCTGGAAGACCTGCTGTCTGCCTTGCAGACCTTTTTCCATCTGGCCTGGGAAGGCAGGGCCTGGACTGACTCCAGCTACAAAAGCTGAGAATGCTGAACAGACTCTTGGGCTGGGGTGTTGTTTAGAGGTTTGGGGGGGGAGGGTTGCTGTTGCTGTTATTGATTTTAATTTTTGGTATCTTTATTATAGATCTTACTATGATTTATATTGCTCAGTTTGGTTGTGCGCTTTTCGGTGTTTTTGTTTAAGACTACTTTTGTTAATTATGTATTTTTTCATGTTGAAAGTAGCCTTAAGCAGGATTTTAACTCTTGAAAGGTTGGCATACAAATAAAATGATGTGTGTTTGCATGTACCCTGGTATAAATTCTGTACTGTACTGGCCAAAAAAACCCCAAAAGCTAGAAATCCATTGACTAATGAGCTGCAATTCATTTTATTAAAGGCACTTCAAAGAAAGGGAAAGAGTGGAAGAGCTGCTTCCTTTCATGAAGCAGCTAACAGTAAGACTTACATCTATTTCTTCTGGCACGCTGTGTGATTTCATAGATGAAAGGAGCTCCATTACAGGAATAACTTCCCCTGTCAGCATTGGAATGATGCTCTGGCCCTATGCAATAAATAATGTTTTATGAAATAAAAAGCAGAGGGTGTACTTAAAGAACAGAACCTGAATAGGCTAAACATTTTTGGAGAAGAAAGAGTAACAAGAAACCGGTAAAATATTTCAATGTTATGGAAGTAGATGTCTGCTTGTGTGACAGGACTTCACCTTCCACCCAACCCAACAGCTTCCCACATCCCCAAAATCTGCTCCAGTGGGTCAAGTCAGTTAGTTGAACCCACTGATTTTAATAGGTCTGCTCAGAATATAACTTAGTTTGATTCAATGCTTTATTTTCCAGATTTGTTCCAACCTAACAGAATAATTACTTAGTAAACCATGAATATAATTTTTGAACTGAATGCAATTTTAAAACGGAGTTTCTAAGCTCTTGTGTTAGACTACTTGGTTAAATAAAATTCAAGAGCCTGGGCAGATATAGGACAAACAGAGAAAAATGAATAAGTTAATGTATTGCTAGAGTTTACAGTTGATAAAGAGAAAATACTTGTGGTTTCATTCCTTGTTAAGTACCGTTTCCCTAAGGTCATCTACAACAGGGATGCGGAACCTTTTTTGACCCGAGGGCCACATTCCCTACTGGGCAACTTTTTGGGGGCCATTTCCCAGGGCTGGGTGCGGCCAGAGGCAAAAGTGGGTGGAACAGTGACAGTAAATGTAACCTTTGCACAAGCTCGTTTCTGTACACATTCACACATTCCCTTCTATCCTCCATGCAGGCAACGGAAAGGTGCCATCAGAATTCAAGGAAATATTCCAGCCAGGCAAAATATTTTAGGCGGGTGTGAAGAAACAGCTGGTGAGAAGTGTGAGCTGAGGAGGGGGGGAGTTGGAGAAATTCCCAAGGGCTAGGCAAAGATGCCTGGAGGACCACATTTGGTCTCTGGGCTTGATGTTCCCCAACCCTGCTGTATAATAAACCCTCTCCCAGCCGGCTGTAGCCCAAAACACATGCACTGCCAGTTCTTTTGCCTGATAAACCAATGATCTAGTAAGATCTTCAGTTTTGACAGGAAGTTGATTGTACAAATAAACTGAAGAAGCCATCATTTTTTTAAAAACACCACTCTTCATTTAGATGGCCTGTGTACAAAGAGAATAAAATACCACTCAGAATTCTACTTCGCTCCACAATGGCATGGAGTTGGCATATGGTTTTTTCCCCCAGTTTGCTCAGTGTTTCTATTCCATCTTCATGGAAATCATTCTCTTACAGATAGAAAACATTCCCGATACCCAGAGGAACCCGCAGTAGCAGCTTCTACAGATGGATGTGGTTGAATGGGAAAGGAACCAAGAACACTTGTAATCCTTCCACTTGAAACTGATGGGATATGAAGTGTCAATACTGAAATGTGCGCAGAGTCTCTCCGCTTTCACCATTCTTACCTGGTCTTCCATTCTCTCTGTGCCCTCCAGGACAGCCTTCTGAATGTGTTCTTGCCTTTCCTAGGCATCGGAAAAATTGTTATTTTTAAAAGAAAGGTTCTAGTACATGTGTACATGTTTTAACCCATACACCGTACGGCCAGCAATCTATAAAAAGACATCAGATTCACAATGACCCAACTAAGCTGCAGTATCTTACTCAAAACAAAATCACATTCAATTCTAAACAGGCTAAAAGAAGGAGATCTGTGTTCAGCCATGATCTCAGTGAGCAGCCTCAGTCTCCCCAGATGCTTTCAGCCTAACCTAGTCCATTGAGTTCTTGTGAGGTAAAATGGGATAATACCACCACATAAGTATGCTGCCTTGAGCAGCTCTGTAGTTGATTAGGGTCCAACAAACAAAAAAAGAGAAAAACGTCTGATTTGAGTGACTTACTTCCACACAGCTGCACTTCAGATCATAAGATTCTTCCAATAAAAAGCCCAAGTGTCCCATACTAAAATGAACTGGAAAGATTATACTTCTTGGAAAGACCAATGCCCTGGATATTTCTCGAAGTAAAGCCTTGTGCACTGTGTATTTCTTTTGCAGACATTGATCAATACAGGGTGCATGAGAGTAGACCGCCTTTTTATTTTTCCATGAAAGTGTGGTTGATAACTATTTAAATAACTGAAGTAAATAAATACACATGGCTATCAAAGTCTTGAGCAGCATATGGAAAAGCCGTACATGTATTTTACTAAGTAAAAATAACACACACTACAAAGAACAAAGATTGTTCTTGTGTTGCTGTAGGTCATGTTAAAGTTCTGGGGGAATTGCACCTCACAGATAGAGCAAAGTGGCTTTGTGTGTGCAAGGAAAAGGCTTACTCTTGTGTAGGCATAATAAACTTTAAAATGATCATGCTGAGCTATGGATGAGAGTGTCAGGGCTCCCAAAGTCAAGAGCAGGAGAAGGAAGATCTTGAATTTATTTGCCTAACTCAACATCTGCTGGCAAGTATTATGCTTATCCAATCACAAGGCTCCAGACTTAAAAATGGTTACCATGAAGAAGTATCCTACCTTATGCATCCATATCCGTCCTTTTCTTATAATATGTGTCAGCCTGTCGACACATACTCTGTGAAGGGGAAGGTAGAAGCCAAGCTCACTTTGCGGAAGGATTATCGATAGTCCATACGTACTTCTGTCCCCGTTCCAATTCCCATCAAAAATTAAGGATACGATAATGACTCCTTTCTCAGACAAAACAAAAAACTTCACATCGATTGCACCACTTTCTGCATTACGAAGTATTTCCCCATTCAGAGTATGGTTTGCAAGAAATGTTATTTCTCCATCACTGAGAAGCTGCTGGTCTGTTTTGGGGGCCCAGATGTGCCTGACTCTGGGACCAAGAATATTGTCCCAGTAGGCAAAAGTAGCAGCCAGCAATGGGGACTCTCCACTCAAGGCAATCTCAGTCTTGGCAACAGCAGGAGAAGGAGGAGGACACAAAGCAGACATGGCGACCCCGACTGTCACATGACCGATACCTAAAACCTAGAGTTTGAACAAAGCAGAGAGTGAGCATAGCAGGATTCATATAAAACATCTGACCGTAGTATATACAACAGAGGTACCATATTTAAAGGTAAAGGGACCCCTGACCATTAGGTCCAGTCGTGGCCGACTCTGGGGTTGCGGCACTCATCTCGCTTTATTAACCAAGGGAGCCGGCGTACAGCTTCCGGGTCATGTGGCCAGCACGACTAAGCCGCTTCTGGCGAACCAGAGCAGCGCACGGAAAGGCCATTTACCTTCCCGCTGGAGCAGTACCTATTTATCTACTTGCACTTTGACGTGCTTTCGAACTGCTAGGTTGGCAGGAGCAGGGACCGAGCGACAGGAGCTCACTCCGTCACAGGGGTTCGAACTGCCAACCTTCTGATCGGCAAGTTCTAGGCTCTGTGGTTTAACCCACAACCCATATTTAGCACTAGTGAAATTGATGCTATATCATCACATACCATTATCAGAATAGGAGATTAAATACGTTGTGATTGTACTTCTAGTAATTAAGGAACTTCGGAAACAGTAGGAAGTGCATCCAAGTAAACATGTTTAGGATTGTGGTAATACAAAAGAAGAGTTGCTCTCCACTATAACTCCTTATGTAGTAAGTAACATTTCAACATTTTTATAAGGGCCAAGAATCCACACTTACTTGGAGTAAGCCTCATTGCACAGCTAGCAGAATAACTCTGAGACAAACCATGCAATGCTTCTGCTCCTACAGTGGAACCTTGGGTTGCGGACGTAATCCATGATGGAGGCACGTCCGCAACCCGCAGCGTTCGCATCCTGAAGCGCCGCATCTGCGCCGGTGCCGGTGCGATTTGGCACTTCTGCGTATGCGCGAAGCACGATTCAGCACTTCTGCGTATGCGGCGAAACCCAGAAGTAACCCGTTCTGGTACTTCCAGGTTTCCCGTGGTCGGCAGCCCAAAACCTGAAGCAGCCATAACATGAAGTATGACTGTACATGAAATTGGTGGTAGGATGAAAATCATCAATTTATAATAGCAACATCAGCCAATAAATAAAAAGCATAACAGAAAACAAAAATGCTACTTTAAATAATGATTCCATGTTATAGCACCAACAAATGCATGAAGCATTGCGGGAAGCGGAAGGAAATCAATGTCAATGCTTTTCAAAGTCATATTCTCACGCAAGCAAAGCAGTTCCAGTGGACTTTGTGTTGAAAGCCAAGAAGGAAGTCATGCAATAGTGAGGAAGTTCCGTAATGAAATGCAAGTTCCATGTTTTCAACATATTCCGCATTGATTTTGACCTACACTGCAAGCAATCACATGACTATAAACAACAGCATATGACTGTCTCAACGCATTTAGTCAACCTGAAAGCAACTTCAACTAATTTCAGCTGAATTTACTTCTAAGAAACAAGACTGATCTGACTACAGCCATAATATAAACATACTGAAAAACTTGAAACAGGAGTCTTTGTATCTGTATACACAACTGATCTGAACACAAAAAAGGGAAAAAATAATTTCAACTAAGAGGTTAATAAAAATAAATGACCTATGTAGGATAACATAGAATATGCATTACACACAGCAGTGTTACAAACTCAGATATATAAGCTGGGCACCAAATGGCTCCTTAAACCAGGGTTACAGTCGCCAAAATGGAATGCCCAGTTGCCATTTTGGGGCCAGAGGACTCGAAAGTCGTACTTTTCAATATGACTTTTTGGTTCCTGAACGTAATTCTGATTGTGCTGATAAAATATAGTGGATAGAATTCTACAGGATGTGTTGCTAGTGTGTAAAAACAGTACAGATCCAAGGATCCCTAGGCACCTACAGATGGTAGAGACATCAGATACCACCCTGGCACCCGGTCATCTTCACTTGGTCGCAAAATGCGCCTAGTGCCTGACGGATTTCAAATGCTGCACACAATGGAATTTTTGTCAAGGCTGCCAAGAAATAATTATTTCAATTCTGCTTAACAAGTTTTAATTATCAATTGTGACGATCAAAATTATTTCAACCTTGCACTTTCAGACGCGTGATCAGTTTTCAATAACGTTACGATGGGAAAATCTAAATCTAAATTGCCATGTACATTCGGGCAGAGTTATAGATTTGAACCCTCGACCCACACAGAACTGGTTATTATGCGATCAGGAGCAAAACATCTGAGTCGGGAGAGGCTGTGTCCGATTTGGGCGCAGCGTTGGACAAGCAGTATCTGAAACCTGCAGACACTGAGGCGCAGTGTCTGTGAAGCTCTTGTTTCTGAGAGATTGCTCTCTTTTGGATTGCGTTCCATCATGTTCATAACTTGATGGGTGCTCATAGACGGATCGTGCCCTGCGGCAACAGCACCCCACCGTAGAATCAAAAGCATAGGAATTCAGCTGCAAAGCCTTGTTTTGAGCAAGATGAGCTATGATGGCTAAGCCAGGCATCCCCAAACTTGGCCCTCCAGCTGTTTGGGGACTACAACTCCCATCACCCCTAGCTAACCGCAAAAGTGGTCAGGGATGATGGGAACTGTAGTCCAAAAACAGCTGGAGGGAGGAGTTTGGGGGTGCCAGGTAAGCCCCCAAAATTTCCAACCTCCAAGCCAATACCCTTTGGTGCCATGGGCGTAGCCAGGATTTTTGTTGGGGAGGGGGGCAGGCTTTATGTTGGGGGGAGCAGAACCTCGGTTAGTTAAGCATTTTTATTGATTTTTAATTGATTTTTAGGGGGCAGCTCCCCTCCCTGACCCCCCCCCCGCCTACGCCCATGTTCGGTGCACCTGGAAATCTTCCCTGCTCTTGAAAACGAGCGCTGACCTAGCGCACCATCCTGCCCTCTCAGCATCCAGCCAGGTAGCTATGGGAACCCCCGCGAGCAGGATCCAACCCTGCGCACCGGCGGCACAATTTCGGCACACCAGCCTGAAGTACCCGCCGCCGCCGCCGCGGGGCTGGGAGCAGACCCACCCACCCGCAACCCCACCGCACCCACAGGTGAAACCGACCCACTCACCCTCAGACGTCAAGGGAAAGGCACGCGGCCACCTGAGGGCCGGAAGTATCGCCCCCTCGCCCGCCCGGGCAGCCCTCGAATGTAAACACAGAGCATGGGAGGGCGCCGGGCCAACTGCGCGTGCGCGCCGGCCGGCCTTTCGGAGACGAGCGATTCTCTCTCACGCGCTCCTATGAGGAAACGGAAAGCCGACGTAGAGGTACAGGCAAAAACCAGTCGTGTGCGCTACAGACTTCCGGCTCCCCAGTTCCAGTCGTTGTTGTTTCCAAGTGTTTTACAGTGCTGTGTATTGAATAGACCCCTTCATGGATCACTGCCTTGCCGTGGCGAAGGGGCTTGAATAACTCAGAGAAGCTCTGAGCTATGCCGTGCAGGGCCACCCAAGGCGGACAGGTCATTTTGTTGTTGTTGTTTAGTCGTTTAGTCGTGTCCGACTCTTCGTGACCCCCTGGACCAGAGCACGCCAGGCACCTCTGTCCTCCACTACCTCCCGCAGTTTGGTCAAACTCATGCTGATGCTGTTAAGGTGCTACACTCAATATGCCAGCAAATTTGGAAAACTCAGCAGTGGCCAGAAGATTGGAGAAGATCAGTCTACATCCCAATCCCAAACAAGGGAAGTGCCAAAGAATGCTCCAACTACCGCACAATTGCACTCATTTCACACGCTAGCAAGGTTATGCTTAAAATTCTACAAGGAAGGCTCAAGCAGTATGTGGATCGAGAACTCCCAGAAGTGCAAGCTGGATTTAGAAGAGGCAGAGGAACCAGAGACCAAATTGCAAACATGCGCTGGATTATGGAGAAAGCTAGAGAGTTCCAGAAAGACATCTACTTCTGCTTCATTGACTATGCAAAAGCCTTTGACTGTGTCGACCACAGCAAACTGTGGCAAGTTCTTAAAGAAATGGGAGTGCCTGATCACCTCATCTGTCCCCTGAGAAATCTCCATGTGGGACAAGAAGCTACAGTTAGAATTGGATATGGAACAACTGATTGGTTCAAAATTGGGAAAGGAGTACGACAAGGCTGTATTTTGTCTCCCTGCTTATTTAATTGCCTTGCTGTGGCGAAGGGGCTTGAAGAACTCAGAGAAGCTATGAACTACGCCGAGCAGGACAGGTCATAGTGGAGAGTTTTGACCAAACGTGATCCACCTGGAGCAGGAACTGGCAAGCCACTCCAGTATCCCTGCCAAGAAAACTCCATGGACAACAGGCATATAAAAGACAACAGGCATATAAAAGTTATGACGCTGGAAGATGAACCCCTCAGGTCAGAAGGCGTCCAACATGCTACTGAGGAAGAGCGGAGGACTGAAATTATACTTTGAAATTATGCTGATAATAGATTCATAGTATTGCGGAGCTGGAAGGGACCATGAGGGTCGTAACAAATTTCCACTCACACATGCAAACGAAGGGCAGGGAAAGCTAGCCTTGTGCATTTAAAAGCCTCGCGACACGATGGGCAGCTAAAGGACCCCATTGGTTATTCCCTAGGTTAAAGGTGCTTCCAGCCCTCCTGCCCCGCATATGGAGGACGCTAAGTTCTGTTATTTGGGAACCGAACGTCTGGGATAAAAACCCTCATTGAGAGACTCTTAAACCTGATGCTATAAGACCCGCCTCCTCGGTGTTTGCACAGGTGCGTCCCGCCCCCCTTCGTTGCTGGCTCTTTCGTCCCTTTACAGCTGGGGCAGCTCAGTCGATAGAACATGAAACTGTTAATCTCAGAGTCGTGGGTTCGAGCCCCGCTTTGGGCAAAAGCTTCCTGCATTGCAGGGGCTTGAATAAGGTGACTCGTGGTCCCTTACAACTCCTTCAATAGGAGTATAGCATCTAGATCAAGGGAAGTAATAGTGCCACTGTATTCTGCTCTGGTCAGACCTCACCTGGAGTACTGTGTCCAGTTCTGGGCACCACAGTTCAAGAAGGACACTGACAAACTGGAACGTGTCCAGAGGAGGGCAGCCAAAATGGTCAAAGGCCTGGAAACGATGCCTTATGAGGAACGGCTAAGAGAGCTGGGCATGTTTAGCCTGGAGAAGAGGAGGTTAAGGGGTGATATGATAGCCATGTTCAAATATATAAAAGGATGTCACATAGAGGAGGGAGAAAGGTTGTTTTCTGCTGCTCCAGAGAAGCGGACACGGAGCAATGGATCCAAACTACAAGAAAGAAGATTCCACCTAAACATTAGGAAGAACTTCCTGACAGTAAGAGCTGTTCGACAGTGGAATTTGCTGCCAAGGAGTGTGGTGGAGTCTCCTTCTTTGGAGGTCTTTAAGCAGAGGCTTGACAGCCATATGTCAGGAGTGCTCTGATGGTGTTTCCTGCTTGGCAGGGGGTTGGACTCGATGGCCCTTGTGGTCTCTTCCAACTCTATGATTCTATGATTCAGAGCTATGATTCTATGATTCCTACGGCTATATAGGGGATGTTTGCCTGTTTTCCAGGTCCTCATAATACACTGCAGGGAGGGAACAAAGCTAGCTAGGACAGACAAAAACTGTGCTGTGCCTTTTATAGTCAGTGGTACCTCGGGTTACATACGCTTCAGGTTACAGACTCCGCTAACCCAGAAATAGTACCTTGGGTTAAGAACTTTGCTTTAGGGTGAGAACAGAAATTGCGCAGCAGCGGTGTGGCAGCAGCGGGAGGCCCCATTAGCTAAAGTGGTGCTTCAGGTTAAGAACAGTTTCAGGTTTAGAACGGACCTCCAGAACGAATTAAGTACTTAACCTGAGGTACCGCTGTAAAAGTAAGAAACAAGTGAGAGCTGCCTTAAGTTGCGAGATGACTGCCTTGGAGAACTGGGCCAAAACTAACAAAATGAATTTCAATAGGGACACATGCAAGGTTCTGTACTTAGGCAGGAAGAACCAGCTGCACAAATATAAGATGGGGAACACCTGGATTGCCAGTAGTACATGTGAAAAGGAGCTAGGGGTCTTAGTTGACGGCAAGCTTAATATGAGTCAACAGTGTGTTGCAGCAGCAAAAAAGGCTAATGGTATTCTAGGCTGCAACAAAAAATGTTGTCGAGACGGTTGGTGGCAAGCTTCCCTGAGTATGCTTTTTTTCTTTTTTAAAAAAAGGCAAAGCATATTTTTAAAGAAAGAAATAAACAATAAACTGGCACAGCAGCTGAAGCTGCTAAACATGCCTTCAGCTGGGCATCTAAGCATAGCCTTAGGTATAGGTATAGGAATAGGAGCACTATAGCCAAACCTATAGCCTATACCAGAATCAGTGGGACCCCAGACCAATTAGGAGGAATGAGCAAGCCTTGGGGGGAACAGGAGAATCTTTAAAGGATTTGCTTCCTCCCCTCCCTCCACTTATTTGACTTCTACTGGTAAGATCCTGCTACCATAAGACTTCTGCTTAACATGAGTCAACAGTGTGATGCTGTGTGATGTAGCGGCAAAAGAAAGTGAATGCTAATCTAGGCTGCATCAACAGAAGTATAGTGTCCAGATCAAGCGAAGCCATAGTACTACAGTCATACCTCATGTTACGGACACTTCAGGTTACGTCCTTTCAGGTTGTGACCCGGAAGTACTGGAAAGGGTTACGGTACTTCCGGGTTTCGCTGCTTGCGCATGCACAAAGCGCTAAATCGCGCCTCACGCATGCGCAGATACAGCGCTTCAGGTTGCGAACGGGCCTCCGGAACGGATCCCGTTCACAACTAGAGGTACCACTCTATTCCGCCTTGGTCATACCACACCTAGAAAACTGGGTGCAGTTCTGTGTGCCTCAGTTTAAGAAGGATATTGACAAGTTGGAACATGTACAGAGGAGGGCAACCAAGATGATCAAGGGTCTGGAAACCAAGCCTTATGAGGAAAAGGTGAGGGAGCTGGATGTGTTTAGCCTGGAATAGAGGAGACTGAGAAGAGATAGGACTCCACTGTGGAAGCTCCAATACAAACAGAATTTTCCCTTGCTTTGTTGCAGTGAAAGACTGCTAGAGCAGGGTTGAAAGGTTAAAGCCCCTTTAACTGAAGGGGCACCTTTCAACAAAGCTGGATATTGCAATTGGGATGGAACTCCTATATGGTGCTCATTCTAAGGTTGCCTGACGCAATGGTGGAGTGGGATGGAGATCAGATTGGGCAGATAAGGTGGTGGAACCCTTCAAAGAATAACCAAAGCCCAATGCACCCAGTGTCTCCATGTTTCACATGTGCATATTCATTAGATTTCACTCATTTGGAGATTTCTCTTTAGTTTAAAGAGACTTGCCTGTCTGTTTCTCAGTTACCAGCAATTCTCCTCTTTCTTCTTATAGCCATAGATAAATTTGCAGTGCAAACCCATACTTGCCTGTTCAGCAGTAAATCTGATTTGAGTTCAGTGAGGCTTGCTCTCAGATTAAGTAGACAGAGGGCTGCAGTCAACTGATTTTAATGTGTGAAATTGTGCAGAGGATTGCTGCCTAATTCTAAAGATAGGTGCTACCATCTGTTACTGGGCAAAACATCATCTGTTTAATTTCTGCATGTCAGTCAGCTGTTAAAGGAGCCAGAGTGAAGTTGGTAGAACAAAATATCCTTTATTTAATAAAATTTACATACCACTTATCGTAAGAAAATCTCTAAGCAGTGTACAAAAATATAATATAAAATATTGAAATTATTGATAAAAACAGATAGTTAAAAACATTTAAAAGATGATTAAAATCAATAGTAAATCCCTTGGATATCAATGGAATTTGCTTCCACATCTGAAAGTGGATTCACCCACACCTGTAACCTGGGAGAATAGTCTGTTTGCCTTTGGTCGGCCCTATGTCCATCCATTCTGGACCCAGTTTCAGATGACTAAATACAGCAACACTTTACCCATTTTCCATTCCATCTCCAGGCTTCCATACTCTCCTGTCCCTTGGCCTGTCATCTGTTTTTGACACCCAGTAGCGTACATGATATGTTAGACAATAAACACAGTTGTTAAACAGATTGTCTTGTTTTCAAGTTTCTTAAAGTTATACTGTTTGCAATGCTGAGGAAAAGACTTGGTCAACAAATGACTTCCATCAGTTGTATTCTGGCTGCAATAGATTTCCAGATAGATTTTCTGTATTCAAATAATTTCATATATTCTTTCATTACAGAATTCCTTGGTAATCAGCTAGTATGTTTCTTAAAAGGGCAGGAAGCAATTGCATGTCTCAGCATCAATTGTACATAATCAATGTTTATGATTTTACATATTTACAAATTCACTGTTCTGCACATAATATGCAGTTTGTTCCACAATAAAGAAATATGGATTGAGTGCTATTTTCAGAAGCTGAATTCCTTATTAATCTCAGTTTGCAAACTCTCAGACTCAAAGCTTTTAAACAGGTTTTGGAAATCATTAAGATGTGGTTCGTAGTTTTGATCCCAGATTTGCCCTCTCAGTTTATTTGGTTTCAGATGTGGTTATTTTTTTAAAAAGGAGCAGCAATCATTACACCAATCAGTCCAGCCTTCTTTAAAGCCAGCTTCCAAGCAGTCTACACTGTAAGTCCAAGAACATTCTGGAAATGTCAGAAAACACAAGTTCGTTTTTTTATATACTGTATATTTGTATTTCCCATGAGAAACGCAGACCTGTATGTGCGGATTTCTCAGGAGAGCTCTTAAAAAGCAGGTACAGCAGCTAACATCTTGCACACAGGCCATGTTTCTCATATCGTATGGATTGAAACAGGATGACCACCGAAGAAAGTCTGACAAAAAGATGTCCACGGTGCACTGTTCTCATACCCTGGAGGGCTGAAATTCTTCTTCAAGGATCTCCTCCACAGTTGCGTTCTCATAAGCAGGAGGGGGTGTGAGGGGCTCTGGACGTTCTGCTCGCTCTTCAACACCTTTGAGTTCATGGGTATCCGAGACAAATCGCTGCAGTTTTGGCGGCATGAGCAACCTGAGGCGAAACCTGGACTGTAGATCTGCCTCCGAGGCACGGCGTGTGCCTGGTGCCACCGAAACACTGAACGCCTCGACCACAGTCTCTCCGTGGGCAGGAGGCTCAATGACCACGCTGTACGGAGGGGGCTCCACTGGGGTTGTCCCTGGACTGGAGGTGATGGTCCAGATGGTTGGTCCCGATAAGTAGCCAGTAGTCATCACCTCCTCATATGCCGGGGCCTCATAGGCCTCATTGTCTATGCTGGTAAAAGAGAGGGGGAGTAGTTAAAAACACAAATCATTATAATAGCTCCATACTTTCCACAAAGGAGGATTCTCTGTCCTCTCAGCAAACAATAATATCTACCATATTCAAGCAATGGGATCATCAAGTGCATTCTGGCCCCCACAATCACAGGCCTCATCTGCACCGTGCATATAAAACACTATGATACCAGATGTGTGTGGTATAAATAAAAAAATTAGTATTATTATTAAACAGTGAGGGTTTCCTCCAAAAGAATTCTGGGAACTGTAGCTTGCCAAGAGAGCTGAGAGCTGTTAGGGGTCTCCTACTCCTTTCACTGGAGCTATAGTTCCCAAATTTTGCTGCAGAGAAGGAGTGACTATTAAACCTACTGTAGAATTTGATAGACTTTTAGGGTGCTTCCAGATAGAATCCCACCCAAAAATAACAAATCCTTTCACTCTTGCCCCTGGCTTTCTTGAGGTTGGTTCAGATGCAATGCCAACTCATGGTTTTCATTGCTTTTAACAACCAGCCACAAGCAGTTTTGTTAATATGATCCTTCAGTCCTCCACTGGGAATATTTCATACAATGCATTGTTTGATTCACTGACCCAAAAGGAGGTGGTAACTGGTAGCTCAGGAGAGTTTTTAAGACTTTAGGGCTAAGTCAATGGAGAATATATGGAGAATATATCAATTACAAGCTATTTGCCACTACAGTTAAGTAGCTAAACACCAAGTTAAGTAATATACCTCAGAATGGGCTTGTTGCCTTCATGATCAGCTTGTAAGCTTCCCAGAATTATTGGTTGGCCACTTGAAATGTTGGTTCTGACTTTTAAAGCCCTAAACCCCCATCGTTCAGCCCAGACACTGAGGTCCAGCTCCAAGGGTCTTCTGCCGTTTACCTCACGGCGAGTAGTGAGGTTACAGGAAACCAGGCAGAGGGCCTTCTTGGAATGTCCTCCCATCAGATGTCAAGGATATAAAGAACTACACAACTTTTAGAAGATACCTGAAGGCAGCCCTGTATCAGGGAGTTTTTAATGTTTGACGTTTTACTGTGTTTTTATATTTTGCTGGAAGCCGCCCAGAGTGGCTGGGGAAACCCAGCCAGATGGGTGGGGTATAAACGATATTATCATCAGCATGCAGGACAAACAGATCCATGGTCTGATCTGGCCATGCTCTCTTCGTGATCTACCACAGGCTTCCTCAACCTCGGCCCTCCAGATGTTTTTGGCCTACAACTCCCATGATGCCTAGCTAGCAGGACCTGTGGTCAGGGATGATGGGAATTGTAGTCTCAAAACATCTGGAGGGCCGAGGTTGAGGAAGCCTGGTCTACCACAATCTGCTCTTTGTATAGACTACCTCTAAAGGGTCAGCATATGGAAAGGAGAGGAAAGTAGATGCAGCTGCTTACCCAGCCTGACTTTGTCTCCGCGAGCCTGGATTATTTTCTTCCGCTGGATTGCGTTGCTTCAGGTAGAACTCCGCTGCCAAACTAATGAGGTAGCCAAGCAAACACAGACCCCCCACTGCAATGAAGAAAAACCCAACAGGGTTGATGTCAGTGGAGAGGGCCAGCATGGTTATTCCAATGAGAAGCGTGGCGGTGAACAGCACCATTAACGTTTGACGGAGGCTCTTCCAGTGTGACGCGGATAACATGGCAGAGGGAATGGTAAGCGCGGCAGTCAATGCGAGAAAGCTGGGCAGCGGCAAGAATGGGCATCTGTCAAAGAGATGAAAGGCAGTGATGCTGATGAAGAGACACGGGCACATGCGACTCAAGCACACGGCAAGGATCTCAAATGACACGCCATGTGCAAGCCAAGTACCTGATGACATGGGTGCAAATATATACAGGCAATCATTCCAATGAAGTAACCACTTAGAGCTATTGAAGCACTAGTCCTCATCCAAGATAAATATACAACATAATGAAGGATTAGGGCAGGGGTAGGGAACCTTTGGCCTGGGGCTCAAATGTGGCCCTCTGTATCTGGCCCCTGGGACTCCCCAAGCTATACCCTCCCACCCCAAGCCATATCAACCCTCCTCAACTACTTTTGCCTACTGGGACTGAGATAATTCTTCTTGCTGGATGGATGGATGGAGAAACGTGTGTGGGCCTCTGGTTGTGGAAACAGCTGACATTTTCATGGCTGGAATGTGGTCTCTGTTGCTCCACCTGCCACTAGTATGTGGCTTCCGCCCTTGAGCTGAAAGACATCCCTCATTCCTGGAATAAGGAGGATGAGCGGAGAGCTTGCTCTTCCTTAGACTTCGCTCTTGTGCAACTGTGGAGAAGCTTTGGCTTGCCAGATGATGCCAAACTCCAACTACCATAATCCTTGGCCACTGGCCATACTTGCTAGGGCTGATGGGAGTTGTAGTTTAGCAACATCTGAAGGGCCAATGGTTCCCCCCGCCCCTCCTGCCCTAGTGGATTCTCAAAGGAAAACATGGAGATGATAGATAGATAGATAGATAGATAGATGATAGATAGATAGATAGATAGATAGATAGATAGATAGATAGATAGATAGATAGATAGATAGATAGATAGATGATAGATAGATAGATAGATGATAGATAGATAGATAGATAGATAGATAGATAGATAGATAGATAGATATAGATAGATAGATGATAGATAGATAGATGATAGATAGATAGATAGATGATAGATAGATAGATAGATAGATAGATAGATAGATAGATAGATAGATATAGATAGATAGATGATAGATAGATAGATGATAGATAGATAGATAGATGATAGATAGATAGATAGATAGATAGATGATATAGATAGATGATAGATAGATAGATGATAGATAGATAGATAGATAGATAGATGATAGATAGATAGATAGATAGATAGATAGATAGATAGATAGATGATAGATGATAGATAGATAGAGATATAGATGATAGATAGGATGAAAAATGTTAGATCACAGTTGAGTGAAAATAGATACCCTTGAATAAAATTGTGCTGTTACTTTAAAGGGCTACATGAGTGCTCCTGCAGATATCTAGATAAGCAAATATATTCTCATATATAATTTTAAAGTTAAAAACTGGTCCAAAATTGAGGCAAACACTAGGAATTGGAATTGGGTGACTTATCGTGAGTGCCATATTGTACACTGGTCTTCAACTGGTGGGTTGGCAACCCAAGCCAGGTCATGGCCTAATCCAGGGGTAGGCAACCTAAGGCCCATGGGCCACAAGTGGCCCACGGGGGTCGTTTAACCAGCCCCCGAACTGAGCCACGAGTCCCTGCGTGCTGCACTAAACTGGCACAGCACAGTGCGGGGACTCGCTTCCACAGCGGTGGAAATCGTATCTGCACAGAAACAGATGCCGGAAATCGCGGGCAGGCGGGTGCGCTCATGCACATGCTCATGCGTACACGCAATCCGGCTCATGGAGGGATCTCCACTGGACTGAACCAGCCCAGGTGAGGTAAACCTTGCCAACCCCTGGCCTAGTCTAAGGTGGGTTGCAAAAACAGCACTAAAGGTAAAGGTAAAGGTACCCCTGCCCGTACGGGCCAGTCTTGACAGACTCTAGGGTTGTGCGCCCATCTCACTCAAGAGGCCGGGGGCCAGCGCTGTCCGGAGACACTTCCGGGTCACATGGCCAGCGTGACATCGCTGCTCTGGCGAGCCAGCGCAGCACACGGAAACGCCGTTTACCTTCCCGCTAGTAAGCGGTCCCTATTTATCTACTTGCACCCGGTGGTGCTTTCGAACTGCTAGGTTGGCAGGCGCTGGGACCGAACGACGGGAGCGCACCCCGCCGCGGGGATTCAAACCGCCGACCTTTCGATCGGCAAGCCCTAGGCACTGAGGCTTTTACCCACAGCGCCACCTGCGTTCCCCAAAAAACAGCACTACCACCACACAAATAGATTGTTGGGGGGTTTTTAAAGCATTTTTTTGAAATTAAGCAATTAGCCCCTGCACGCATGATTGAGTTAAAAGTGGTCTGATAAGGCTGAAAACTACTGATCCTAGTAGATCTCCGTGATAGTCATGCTAAGATGCAGACAAAAGACCAAATGTAGCACTTCAGAGAACTAATTCCAGCTTTCCTTGTGGAACCTGAAGTGCAACAGAGGCACGCTAAACTGACCCTAGGCAGACACAAGAAATAAGCAATGGGCAACAACAGCATTTCAACATAGCTTTTTGCGTCTCTCAAAAGGTTTAATATCACACATAGCCATGAGGACATACCCAATATGCAATATGCATCGGACAAAAGGAATGTGCTGCCAGGACAAATTCCAAGGGAATCAAGCAACTACACAGAAAAACATAGGGTGCTGTTCAACTAAGCTTTATTTGGAGTAGACTCGTTGAAATTAATGGACCTATCTCAGTATGTTCGTTAATTTCAATGGCTCTTAGTTGAATGCCACCCACACATTTCAGAACAAATCCCACACAACGATCACATTGTGTGAGACTTCCCAACATCATTTGTCCCTCTTTTCTATCCATCCATCCAAAACAGCTAACTGGACTTGCCAATGGGGAAGATAAGTTTATGTTTTCTCAACGGCTGGGGAAGATCTTTCTTCACAGCCTGGAATCTCTCTGCTCCATTGAAAGGCAGCACCTTTTGGCTAGTGGGGATGGGCAAGTTTGAAAGCCAAAGCAGGCAGAGCCCGGTAGAAAGCTGACACAGCTGTGGGTTGACTAAAGATGAAATCACACTGGGGTGCAGTTTTCGCTCTGGGAATCTGGCGCAAGATCAGTGGTTCTGCTGCGCGCCACAGGAATCCCCTTGCTTCCCATATGTTCTGTCTGTACATTTAAATTGTAAATAAAAAACATGAAGACGACGTTGTAAGTCTCCTATGCTGCTTTACCCAAGAGAAATGAAACAAGGAGACCCTAGGGGGTCTGTGAATGGGCTTCAGGGGGTCTGTGAACCAGGCAAAAAAAAAGGTAAACAGGTGAAAAAAATCCCAGTGCAATAAATAATAATCATAGAGGGATGCAGGTGGCACTGTGGGTTAAACCACAGAGCCTAGGGCTTGCCAATCAGAAGGTCGGCGGTTCGAATCCCAGTGACGGGGTGAGCTCCCGTTGCTCGGTCCCTGCTTCTGCCAACCTAGCAGTTCGAAAGCACCAAGTGCAAGTAGATAAATAGGTACTGCTCCAGCGGGAAGGTAAACGGCATTTCCGTGCGCTGCTCTGGTTCGCCAGAAGCGGCTTAGTCATGCTGGCCACATGACCCGGAAGCTGTACACCGGCTCCCTCGACCAATAAAGCGAGATGAGCGCCGCAACCCCAGAGTCGGTTCCGACTGGACCTAATGGTCAGGGGTCCCTTTACCTTTTAAATAATAATCATAATAGTTTACTTATACCCACTGCTGATAAAAAAGCAGAGAGGCTCACCCAGTCTGATTTAACTGCATCCTTTGCTCCCCAGGTGAAATAAATGGCTCTCTAACTTTGGCTTCACTTGCATGTTCACAGCACAGTCATGTTGTTCCCTTTGGTGTCTGACAGCAACACAAGCCCTTTTAAACAGCTGCTTTCGTGCAAGCATGCATGGTCATCATGAGGCAGGCTGTACCACGCATGGACATTGCTCCTTTCAGGCTACAGGGAAATCCCAGATGGAGGAAGTTCTGCTATTGGCCTCTGTTTTGCACTAATAATAGCTTTCTTACTGGACTCTAGTTTCCCATGCCTTAAAAAACAACAAAAAAACAACAACCACCGAAGCTCTGTGTGTTCCTGAGTCTAGCAGCAGTGCAGGAAAATTCCACTCTGCAGAGTCAGAGACGGAAGGTGCTTGCAAAAACCCAAACAAAGGACAGAGGAAGAAAAGGAAGTGAATAAGAAAAAGGAAGAAAGGGTGGGGAGGGGTGGCAGGAGTTGTCTGAAAAAATTATCTGTCTCTCAGCTGCAGTACCCTTTCCTGGTATCTCACCTTCACGAACCAGCGTAATAATAATAATAATAATAATAATAATAATAATATAATTTATTTTTACCCTGCCCATATGGCTGGGTTTCCCCAGCCACTCTGGGCAGCTTCCAACAAAATATTAAAATACAATAACCTATTAAACATTAAAAGCTTCCCTAAACAGGGCTGGCTTCAGATGTCTTCTAAGAGTCTGGTAGTTGTTTTTCTCTTTGACATCTGGTGGGAGGGCGTTCCACAGGACGGGTGCCATTTACTAGATACATTTATCTAGCATGCATATATATACTGTATATATCACACATGTGTTCCAACAACACACTTCCATAGACAATAAACATGGATACAACCCTAGATTTTGAAGGATGGAGGGGAGATAGAATCATAGAATTGCAGAGTTGGAAGGTATCCCGGGGGGGGGTCACCTTGTCCAACCCCCTGTAATGCCGTCCCAGAGTAGGCTTGAACCACCAACAGCCAGAAACATTGACCCATATGTACATGCATCTGGAAATTCCAGAGATTTTTACTATAGTCAATCATCTGATTGAACAGACAAGCAGCTTTTTGACTTTAAACTAGCTGACACGCTCAGTAGGATTGACAGCTATAGTTTTGTTTTTTGGAAGAAAAACAACACAAAAACCCACTTTCAGAGTGTCTCTAACTGTGTATCTCCCAATTGCGTTTAGGCTATCCAAGATAGCTGAGAAATGGTCATGTAAGCATATGAAACTAACACTTGAGCAAAAGAAAGCCCAAGCGAATCCAAGCATACCTATAATTAACATAATTATGATAATTAATGTGGTGTAGTGGTTAGCTTCCAAGGAAGACCAGGGAGGGAGGTGTGAGTTCTGAACTCTTCTCAGGCATGAGAGTCACCAGGTTACCTTAGACCAGTCACCATCGCTCAGCGTAAACTATTGTGAAGATAAAATGGGGAGGGGAGGTTGCTAAACACCACGTTCCTTAAAGAAGGTAAAGGTAAAGGGACCCCTGACCATTAGGTCCAGTCGTGACCGACTCTGGGGTTGCGGTGCTCATCTCGCTTTATTGGCCAAGGGAGCCGGCATACAGCTTCCAGGTCATGTGGCCAGCATGACTAAGCCGCTTCTGGCGAACCAGAGTAGCACACGGAAACGCTGTTTACCTTCCCGCCAGAGCGGTACCTATTTATCTACTTGCACTTTGACGTGCTTTCAAACTGCTGCTAGGTTGGCAGGAGCAGGGACCAAGCAACGGGAGCTCACCCCGTCACGGGGATTCGAACCACCGACCTTCTGATCGGCAAGTCCTAGGCTCTGTGGTTTAGACCACAGTGCCACCCGTGTGCCTTAAAGAAAGGCACATTAAATTGTAAATACATATATATTATAAATGAATCTATTTACACACAGAGCACCAAACCTTCACTAATTAAAAATATAGCTCATCTTAAATCATGGAAAACTGTTTTAAATCTTAGCAATAGTATTCAAAACTTAACACCAATTTCTTGGTTAACCTTTAATATACTTTGCATTTATGATTCATGGTTATTGCTGCAATGTGAAACATGCATATATTATCAATGACAGCTCACAGCCTCGTGCTTTGAGATGCTGTTAAATCTGTATATTAAAAAAAAAGCTTAAGAAGTATTGTAAACGATGACAGAAGACAAAAGTGGCAACAGTAGTTTGGAAATGCTGACTCAACTTTACAGGAGTAGTTAGTTTAGTGGGTTTGTGCTTTTTCCTCCCTATCTACCAATCAACCTTGTTCATAATTCAGGTTGCAAACCTAAACAGGCTTAGTAGAGAGTAAACCACACTAAGCACAGCTTACTCCCGAGTAAATATAAATGTGATTGCAATGTCTGAGCACCAGCTGACTTCTTGCACAGGTCAGAAGGAACTACACTCAAGTCATTTAAAGCTTTGTAAAAGGATTCTACTGCTAGACAGAAACACACATGTGACCGATGCTCTCAGTATTTTTCATTTTACTTTGTCTCATGCATGTGCACACCTCGGCTACTTTCGCAAGCAACACTCACACAAGTCTTTGACAGCAGCAGCCCCTCACCAGCCCTGGTCACTCACCAAACTTGGATGCTTTGCACCAGCCTCAGCCATGAGGTCTTCCCTCCTGTGGTCATCCCCAGGTAACTGATTGCAAGCTCCTTTGCCAGGGCTCTCAGAAATGCCAGCAGCTTCCTGCCTTCACCCTTTAAGGGCACATCGAAACATCCAAGGAGGAAGTTGTGAGTGTAGAAACAGAGAGCTACCCCTTCTTAGATTTCACAATCTTTCCCCCCAAATAGTATTGTCTCCTTTATCCACCTGAGAACGTTTTTCTTTCCTCTTTTGCCCTCCCAGCTGGGCCGCTTTAAAAGAGCAGGAAGGCGGCTGAGGAAATGGGTGGCGTATTGCAAAGAGTGAGTAAGGGGTGTGTGCCAATCTGCGTCTCCAGCTTCTTTTTCTTACTGGGGCGAAGATCTCTCTCTCTCTCTCTTTTATCTTGTAGAAAGCCTTCAGTGACACCTCCCTCGACAGGGTGGGGCATTAGGCCCATCCCTAAATCACATGGCATGTACATAACTATTTATGAGCTCTGTAAAGATATAAACTATGTGTTCTTCCTACTACTCAGGTTGCCTCGCAGGTACCGGTTTTAGTTTACACCCTTGACTTCTGCGCTATATGGACAAAGAGGGAATGGAGCTGCCGTCAGGTCAGTAACCTTCCCAGACGACAGGCGAGGCAGAAAGTCTCTGTGTGATTTAAGGAAAACACCTGGGGATTAGGAGCACAGAATAAAAGCGGCGAAAGTTCTTGTGAAATTACAGCTGTGTTGTTGAAATCTTGACAACTGGGTGAAGGATCACTGAAATATTACCCCAGCCCAGGATCTAAACTTGCAAAAAGAACAGAGCATTAGGGAAGTGATTCAACACTGTAGATCAGTGGCTTTGAAACTTTTTGGCTTCTTACTGGCCAGCAAACAAGCCTTTTCTCTTCACAGAACTGAACTACACGGCACATACTCAATTCCTGAGCTTGGAGTTCCCCAGAACAGTTTGAAAACTATTATCTGAGATGGTTAGCCTTTCCTGGCCTGGATAGGGCTCATGGGAATTGTATTTCAAAACATCTGAAGGCAACAGGTTGGGGAAGGCAACAGGTAGATTATTATGTTTTGACCCAGCTAATGGGAAAGCCCCACATTCCCTACCTGGTACTATATCTGCACATCAGGAACACTATGAGATGAGTACCAGGAAAAAGCCAGACACTCTTCCTTATGGAGCAATCATGCACACATTTCCATGAAGCTGTGCACACTTCACAGCCTGCTATCCTGCTCCTTGCTAGCAGAAGAGCACTACAATCTGGAGCAGGGGTTTCTCAAACCGCAGGACCCACTTGAGAAAGTTGAAAATTATGGAGGCCCATCAGTCACAAGTTGATGATGCAATGGAAGAACCAGTCACCAAACGGCAGCTGACTCAAGAGTGGAGTTTGGCATAATCAGCTGGCAACTGCCTGACATAATTTTCAATTTAAATCTAATCCCTCTTTCGAAATTGTTTCTGTTTTTCTTAATCCCTCAGTCCTTCCTGTTATCTCTCGGCCCACTGATGAGGTGACTGCCTCAGGTGGCAGAGTCCACAGGGGCAGCAGATCCCAATGTAGATCTTTTATTTCTCCCTTGTTCCTGATTTAGATATTCACTTCATTCCTGGTGGGGGAGGCACCATTTGGTGGCTTGCTTCAGGCGTCAAAACATCACATGGCCACAATACTATGCATGCAAAGGTATTGCTGTTGCTGCGGAAAGTCCAAACAACAGCAAGCCCTGAGGGATAGCTCCGTGGGTAGAGAATGAGACTTAATCTCAGGTTTATGAGCCCCACATTGGTGTGAAGATTCCTGTATTGAGGGGTTGGATTAGATTACTTTTGCGGTCCCTTCCAATTCTACAATTCTGATTCAAGGTGGCTTATCTAATATTTGAAGAGAGGCTGTGCCACTGAGGTTCACCTCAATGTTTCCCTTGGGGATAACTTCAGTGGCAATTCTGCCTGGATGTATCCTGTCTCAAAGGCACCAGATGGATTTGTGTGCAACCTGAAGTTACATTAACAGGACAAATGAGCCTGTTGTTCTCCAGAAACACCTTTTGGATGGAAAGCATGGGCACGAAAGGAAAACTTGCCCAACAGAATGTGGGAATGATAGACAGCCATTATGTGTTCTTAGCTTGAACCAGAAGTACACCCGCAGGGAACACCTCCAAAAAGAGACAAATCTAATGGCGATTTTGTTAAAAACTCTTCAAATGATACACAAAAAAGGTAAAGCTAAAGGTACCCCTGCCCGTACGGGCCAGTCTTGCCAGACTCTAGGGTTGTGCGCTCATCTCACTCTATAGGCCGGGAGCCAGCGCTGTCCGCAGACACTTCTGGGTCACGTGGCCAGCGTGACAAGCTGCATCTGGCGAGCCAGCGCAGCACACAGAAACGCCGTTTACCTTCCCGCTAGTAAGCGGTCCCTATTTATCTACTTGCACCCGGGGGTGCTTTCGAACTGCTAGGTTGGCAGGCGCTGGGACCGAATGACGGGAGCGCACCCCGCCGCGGGGATTCGAACCGCCGACCATGCGATCGGCAAGTCCTAGGTGCTGAGGTTTTACCCACAGCGCCACCCGCGTCCCTTCAAATGATACACACAACAGGGCAAATGAGATCATACTGTATTCGCTCCTAGGACAAAAAGTTCAGCTGAGGAGTTCTTTTTAGCTACCATGGCTGTGCACCATTTCCTGACAAGTGTGGATCACAAGCGCAACTGAATGAAAACCGAATGCCACCCAGGTAAAAGAAGAGACAAGGCCATTCATCTGCCAGTTGAGGCTCTGTATGTGGGTGACCAAAGCTAATATTTTTATGGTTTTTCATCATGGGAATGTGTTGAAAACACTCCCATGAATGACTGCCCACTTTACAATTCATATTCACTATATGACACATGAAGGGAGGGACACGGGTGGCGCTGTGGTCTAAACCACTGAGCCTCTTGGGCTTTCCAATCGGAAGGTCGGCGGTTCGAATCCCCGTGATGGGGTGAGCTCCTGTTGCTTGGTCCCAGCTCCTGCCAACCTAGCAGTTCAAAAGTACAGTGGTACCTCAGGTTACATACGCTTCAGGTTACATACAATTCAGGTTACATATGCTTCAGGTTACATACGCTTCAGGTTACAGACTCCGCTAACCCAGAAATAGTGCTTCAGGTTAAGAACTTTGCTTCAGGATGAGAACAGAAATCGTGTAGCGGCGGTGCGGCGGCAGCAGGAGGCCCCATTAGCTAAAGTGGTGCTTGAGGTTAAGAACAGTTTCAGGTTAAGAACGGACCTCCGGAACGAATTAAGTACTTAACCCGAGGTACCACTGTACACTAGTGCAAGTAGCGGGAAGGTAAACGGCATTTCTGTGCACTCTGGCTTCCATCACGGTGTCCCGTTGCACCAGAAGCGGTTTAGTCATGCTGCCCACATGACCCGGAAAGCTGTCTGTGGACAAACGTTGGCTCCCTTGGACTGAAAGCGAGATGAGCACCGCAACCCCACCGTCGCCTTTGACTGGACTTAACTGTCCAGGGGTCCTTTACCTTTATGACACATGGAATAGAGTTGGCTTAGTGTCATAAGTAAGGATGTTAGCTGGGGAGCCCATGGTTCAATTCTGACTTTAGCCAAGAACTCACTAGAACTGTGTGGGGACGCAGGTGGCGCTGTGGGTAAAAGCCTCAGCGCCTAGGGCTTGCCGATCAAAAGGTCGGCGGTTTGAATTCCCGCGGCGGGGTGCGCTCCCGTCGTTCGGTCCCAGCGCCTGCCAACCTAGCAGTTCGAAAGCACCCCCGGGTGCAAGTAGATAAATAGGGACCGCTTTCTAGCGGGAAGGTAAACGGCGTTTCCGTGTGCTGCGCTGGCTCACCAGAGTAGCTTCGTCACGCTGGCCACATGACCCGGAAGTGTCTCCGGACAGCGCTGGCCCCTGGCCTCTTGAGTGAGATGGGCGCACAACCCCAGAGTCTGTCAAGACTGGCCCGTACGGGCAGGAGTACCTTTACCTTTACCTTTTACACTAGAACTGTGAGGCTTGGGAAAGACTGTTTTTCATCTCAGCCCCCCTTTCCTTCCTTGTGGGGATAATAATTCTGGCTTATCTTGAAGGGTTGTTGACCATGTATATAAAGCAGACATAAACCACCCTGTATCAATGATAAATATTATTATACCAGGCCTACTGTCTTGTAATACAAGTTGGCTGCCGTCAGCTTTTAAAAACATAAAAAATATACCAGTGTGCCGTATCTGTGAAGTAGGTCAGCTGTACACTGCTCTGCCCCTAATTTTCCCTCTTTCCAGTCACCCATTAATTCTCCACATCACCACTTTCCTAGGCTGCCATTGATTTGCCTTATCTTATCATTTGGGTATCCTGAGGCATTTACCTGGCTCTCATTGGGAGAGTCCTTGGCCCAGCCCATAAATTCCATTACGCTTTTAGTCAGTGACCAATTTCAAGGCTGCTGTTTCCGTTCTTAAGGAACAGTCGCCACATGCAGGAATGCCTGCATTTGTTCTTTCTGCCCTAGGCATTTGTACACACTGCGACTTATTTACTCCAGAGCCAGGGCACTACCAACACAGGTTGTTATGTACTAAACTTGGATCCTAGAACAATAGGCAAGTAGGATCCTAGAGGCCGCTTTTAAAATGAGGCTGCATTTTAAATTGCATTTTAACCTGTATTTTATTTTATTTTTTTGTTTCCCCTATTATGTTTTTACTGTAATTTTTACTGGTGTTAGCTGCCCTGAGCCGGGGAGGGCAGGGTATGTATGTATGTGTGTGTGTATATATATATAAATATTTATTTATTTGTTTGTTTGTTTGTTTGTTTGTTTGTTTGTTTGTTTCTATTATTAGAATGCAACAACTGATTGGCTTGCAGGAAAAGACCAATTAGGCTCCAGGAGGGAAGCAGAATCAGATGGCACTTATTGTGTAAATAATGTACAGTGGTACCTCGGGTTACATACGCTTCAGGTTACACACTCTGCAAACCTAGAAATAGTGTTTCAGGTTAAGAAATTTGCTTCAGGATAAGAAAAGAAATCGGGCCCCGGTGGCGTGGCAGCAGCAGGAGGCCCCATTAGCTCAAGTGGTGCTTCAGGTTAAGAACAGTTTCAGGTTAAGTACAGACCTCCGGAACGAATTAAGTACTTGACCCGAGGTACCACTGTATATAAAAGCCTGAGGTGGGGGGGGGCAGTTCAATCACTGTTTTACAAGCTGCAATAAAGAGCATGAAATCATTACAGGAGTCCGAGTATATTTCACAGGTGTTGGAAACCAAGCACAGAGCATATTAGCTACAATCCATATGCATCCTGTAGTTCCTCGAAAAATGCTCCCATTTGATGTGTTTTCCCTC